TTAATAATGATGATATGGCTATGTATTTAACTAAATACAAAATAAGAAGTTGAAATCTTTTTTGCAGAAATTAATATGAACATAAGCACGAGATGACAATTTTCGTATAAATAAGTCCTTTAAACCTCCTTCTAATATCTCTCCCTCTTTGTCTGCAACAGACAACTACCGTAACTGTTTTCAATGAAGGGGCAAGAGATGGTGCAATTAATGAAGCTGGAATTATAAAGCAAGAGGTCGGAGATGACTCGTGCCATCTTATAATAACTAGAAGAAAGGAAACACTCGGTAGAAACGAATAATTACGTGCTATTGATATTTGTTGCTTTTAAAGGTGACATTTCATCTGAAATACAACGAGGCATTAATTTGTATTTTACCGTTCGTCGAGTAAAGATATTTTTAATCACTGTTCACTGTTATAATTTTGAATTATATGCATTGGAAATAGTATTGGCTGCATGTGCAATGTCTCCAATTTTTAGAATGAGAGTTGTGGTATAGTAATTATTGTACATAGCGCCATTGTTCCTCGCAGGTATAAAAGTGAGCGAGTTTCAGAAATAGATATTGTATTCTAATGTAAGTAACGTCAAAGTAAGAAGACGTAGTGGAGATCTGATGGTTTCGCGGAAAAGAGGACATATTCGGAAACCTGCAGCAGAGGTTAACTCAAAAAGAACCACAAGGACAGTTGAAAGCACGGCTGAGCGCAAAGCGGACCGCTATGCGTCAAATTTGCTGAAAAGGCTGTGAAATCGTCGAACGAAATAGTCTGGAGAACCGTTTGTTGTGTTGACAGTTGGTATGAGAATGTCACTGTTGGAATATGATGTAAGGAAGAACAGAAGGAGACAATCGATAGATTCTGCTTCTTCCTCCAGGCATATGCCTTAACCGGAGTTGAAAGGGAGGATTCCACGAGATATTTTCAGCTGGGAGGAATTACAGAATTATAGCGAGCAGTGGTTTCACTTGGGGTTCGAAGATGTTCGCTGGCAGTCTTCGGAAAAGGTCGTTCAAAAAGGATATCCCGCGATAAGGCAGGGATCGAAGTCAGGGTGGTCATCGGTTGAGATGGCATCGGTCGCAATCTCAACCTAAAATAGCCCATGGCGAGGCCAGCGACCGGGAGCAGTTCGAGTTAGAGTGTTCCGGATGCAATATCTTACTAGTAGATGATGACAGAAATCTGGAAGTAATTTCTCAGCGAAGGGAACGCCGTATCGGGAGGAAGGATTGTCTCTAAAGCAATCAGAGTCAGACAAATCCAGTTGAGGATCAGCAAGCGGAATGTGGTATCGAAAAGGATTGCCTCGGAGACAATTCGAGACAAGCAGATTCGAGTGAAGGTATCTAATGCCAGGCAGTAATGTTATCAAGTAGATTTAACAGCCGATCTGAGGAGCACGATATCATACATTTTTTAATTTCCTAATAAGCGAGTATTTAAATGTATCTCAGTCCCATAAATATTCGTACCCTCTGTGTCTATTGAAGAAATTTATTTAAATTAAATGGTAGGTTTGATGTTCCCAAGTGTATGTTTATTCATTTATCTTCAAAATTATAAAACGAAACGATGCGTTTGTTTTATAAGTACCTACAACAAAAATTTTCCAGCAATTACTCCTATTGCCTTTCCTTCACAGGGTGTATTTTTTTAAACGGTGAGTACCTAAAGCTCCCGATAATAACCTGCCAATTCTAACGTTTGACAGTTTACAATTTCCCATTTACCTTTTGCACTCCCCAATCCTCTTCGCCGCGAATAAGTACTAACTCTATTTTGCTATCACGTATCAGTAGCGACGTCAATTTTTCAATAGCTCTCAAATTACAGTTTTCTGCGTTACGAATATCCATCGAGGAAAAAGCACGCGTGAAAATTTCACCTGTCCAGTAAATGCGTCCAACATCCGCAATTTTGACTCATTTTTTTTTACGCCGCCGGACAATGTCTGAACGAAGACTATATACGTGCAATCCATTTTAGTCGTTTCATCCGTCAATTTCCGGTGACGCGATGCACAATGTCTTTCTACGCTTTCATCCCCTTCGTGAGGATTTTATCTTTGTCGAAAAATCAATGTTACATCGTTTATCGTCCTACCCTTGGAAAGCAATAAACTTTCTACAACTAGAACTTCGTGTAAATCTTTAAGTGTGTAACAGCGTATAATAAGACAAAGTAGTTCAAATGTTGGAATTAAGACTGATACGGGAAGTTCGCAAACTCGAGTTTTCGAATGAAGCTTAGTAGAAATGAAGATCATCATTAAAGTAATGTAATCTGATCAAAATTAGAGGCGATCCAGGCCACTAGATGCCGCTACGTTTAAAAAAATTTTTGTTTAGTAAACAATGTTTACTTCAACGTGAATGGACTAACCTGCAGCTTCGACAAATCTAAATATAAAAATATAAACGTTAAGGATAAAGGTTCCTTGGTATTACATTTCATGAGTTTAAAATCCTCATAAAATATGAAAAATGTGTTTGTTCTGGATAACATTTTTGTACACTAAAGAAATCTCAAGCCAGAGGTGGAAACGTATACTATCCTAAAAAGTAATTAAAAGTCTAAACAAAGGGAAACGCGGGTGTTTGGTTGTTTTTGGGAAATAGTAATCACGTTAGTGAAACGAAAAATAAAGCGACGACACGCGGTACGTGTTAGCAACTTTGCCAAATTAACATTCCGCGTCTGTCACAACGTTAATTGCAAACACTTCTTCGGACGATGAAAGTAATAAAGTGTCGACTCAAGTCTTGGCTGCATAGAGTACACATGGGGTTATTGTCGTTGAGTACGATAGAAGTTCGCAGCAGAGATTAAAACACATCTCGAGTGTATGCTTTTGAAATACAAAGCGAGCCAATGCCTAAAACCTCCAGGGATAAACTCCATCTATCTCTCCACTTTTCTTGCTATACTGAAAATTGCTGAGACTTTGTAAAACTTCCCACATTTGACGAAACTAACGAACAAACGATAGAGTAAATTTTGAATTTACAAACAAGAATTTTCTGTTGTGTGTCAGGCATATCTCATATTTAATAGACATTCATTGTAATAGATATATCGTTTTTACTCGAAACAAGTAATCGACTCACTATTTTATAATGCGTACGTATCCTCCGAAAAGTCTAATTAAAGATCGATTTGCGTGTAATATGCTATTCATAAAGGCTATCGAGGTAAAATAGGACATAGATAATACAGTAAAAACATAACTATCTAAATATTTATCTGATACTAACACGATTTATGTTTTCTGTAAGATACAAATAAATAATTAAACATACAATTAAACCTTGTCTTTTACTTCGCGCTGCGGCAGATGGTTAGGTATCAAAACGATTCTCCCCTTTTTGTTCCCATTCTTGAAGACAAGATAATTACGCATCCCGGTGGAAATTAATGGTAAAACTTTGTTTCGATGGTGATAAATGGTACATCGGCAAAGTTCCATACCTCCAAGCGAATCGAATGTGACTAGCCTTTGTAACAGAGAAAAAGAAACTTAGAGAAATGGATCTGGAACTACTTTTAAGAACATCGCAATCTCTAGACAATATTAATGGAAATTTTATTTTATTCAATTCGAGGTGTAAATTCTATTTATATTCATTTTTCATTTACCCATCCCGCATCGTCAGAATGTTCAACCTCAGAATAAACTATCGCGAGGATAATTGACTACATAATTTACTTTTCTGTTAAAATGATATTTGAATGTTGTCATTTCCACAAGTACTATATTTCTAGGAATTTTTTATCTATCTCAGAAATTTAATCTATCTCTGATCAGAAAATTAATACATCATCTGTAAAAAGCAATATCCTTTACGGGGGCATTTCACTGTAAACGCATAAAAAAAGCATATTTTCAATAATTTTGTTCTCAGGAACTATTGCATAAAATTGAATGAATGTTTTTTTCCCTTAAAGATATGATTAAGGAAAGTAAAAAATTTCTTTTTGGTAAAAAATATTTCGTCATTTATTTACAAAATAATATGCATGTGTG